CGTTTGCGAGTTATATGGCTATACGTATACGGCTCTTGGTTAAACCGGCTGGTTGAAAAGCCGGTCGTTCCTACTTTATCTGCATAAATCGAAAACGAAAGCAAAATAAAAAAATTGTCACGAGCGAAACATCACCGTTGAGTGGTTACGTATTTATATAGTACAAAGATTCGTTGAAATCTGTTCTGTAGTTTAGAAGAAATTTCTTGATCGCCGCGAATTTAATGTAATTTTCGTTCAAATCTGTTCAATAGTTTGGAAGAAATTCTTTGATCAATGCGAATTTCGGCCTTTTTCGCAATATACGCGCAACTCACGAATGAAGGGAAAATTTAAAAAAATTATACGAGCTAAACATCACCGTTAGGTTCTGATGAATACGTGTTCCAAGTTTCATAGAGCTGCGTTCATTAGTTTGGGAGATATTACTTGCTTACTGAATTTGGAGATTGGTCGTGAGACCGGCGACGATCGAGTCCGGCCGTAAATTCACCCGCGACGTCCTTGGCTTCTAGTGCTGAAACAGTTCAAACAGCTGAAAAACATTTTGGTTCACTAAATGGGGTTCTATTTGTGAAATACACATTTGTGTTTAACCTTTATCTTTTAAAATTGCAGCGTACTAAATTTCAAGAAAGTGGCGTATGTCTGTGTGGGGCGCTAGAAATTCACTATAGAGGGAGCCAAAAGGGGCGCCAGCCTAAAAAAGTTTGGGAACCACTGAATTAGACGGTTAACCATACGACCATAGTGTGTAGTCTGGGGTCACCAAAGGCTTCGTTTTCACAAATGTTTATTAACTGGCCCGGCATAACTCTACATAAAAATTGCTAGAGAAAAGTTATGAGTAAATTCAATGCATGACTTTGACTCATTTCTTATAGGGCATCAAGACATGCTCAAGCTCTGGGAATTTAATTCAACTGCTAGAGGTATTATTGTAAGGCTACATAGTTCTATTAATATATATCCATTATTTACATTATAAATAAATTTATATAATCGATGTTAATACAATGATTTTAAATCCAATCCACCCGTCCTTCCGATAAAAATAATCCGATCCACCCGTCAGCAAACTATTCATCACTAAAAAATTCTGCAATCTCATGAGCTCATTAGCCCAACAAGGCAAGCTCATAAACTCATTATGCCTACACTAAAAATCTCATAAACTCATTTGACCTACAAGGCACTCTTATAAACTCATTAAGCCTACTCTACAATCTCATAAACTCATTAGAATAGAATAGAAGTGTCGGCACTGAAGAAATAGGCCCATATGGCCTGTTGCCGATTCTTGAATTTTTCGTGACTTGATTCACAAGGGATCCGGCCTTTGGAACCCGATCTTTCCATAGCTGACGATTGAGATAGCTGCTGAACTTATTGCCTGGTCTGTAATTTAGACCTACAGGGCACTCTCATAACCTCACAGAGCCTACTCTACAATCTCATATACTCATTAGACATACAAGCAGAGGTGGGCAGTAGCGCGCTACATGTAGCGGCCGCTACATTTTCAGCAGCGGTAGCGGCGTTACATTTAAGCAATTTTAGCGGTAGCAGTAGCGCCCGCTACATATTTAAGTAGCGATACGAGGTTTTGCCGCTACAGCGCTACCGCTACATTTATTGATAAAGCCTTTAGATTTTACTCAAAAGTATTAAATATTATTTAAAAACCAGCATGATTCATACATAATATAAATTACAGAATAAAACTGTACGAAAGATTTCGGTGTAATGTTGTCTACCTCAGCCTGTTACTAGTGTCAACATGTTAGTTGTTACTTGTTAAGTTGTTACAAGTTACCACTTACAGGTATTTTTTCATGTTTCAGTTTGTTTACAGTTATTTTTACACAGTTATTTTATGTTCCACCTTCCCTACATTGATGTCTACTTTAATCTACCAATCTCAAAATAATCCACATATATATACAAATAAAAGAGTGATTTTTTATATGTATAAGTAGATAATTTTTGAGATTGGTAGATTAAAGTAGACATCCATGTAGGGAAGGTAAAACATAAAAAAATATAACTCAGTACTCACTGCAGTGAGTGACAGAGAGCGCATTTTCTCGTCGACGAAAACTTGAGGTCACGGACGGACGGACAGACGGACAGACAGACTGACAGACGGACATGGCGAGCACAATAGTGCATTTTTCCATAAATGATAAAATGCGCTAATAACTGTAACTTTTATATACTGTATCTATCCTGTACTAGTTCGGTTAGGTTAATTGCAATAAAGTTGCATTGATATGTTTTGAAAATGTTTTATTATCATTAAATGTTATGAGTAAATCCCAATAGCAGAACAATGGATATTTAAAGATTTCCAATAATTTTGGCCATTGTAGCGGCTAATGTAGCGGCGCTACATTTTACTGTAGCGGTAGCGCCCGCTACAATCTAGTGGGTGTAGCGATAGCGGTAGCGCCCGCTACATTTAGAGCATGTAGCGGTAGCGGTAGCGGCGCTACATTTCAAAGTAGCGCTGCCCAGCTCTGCCTACAAGACAATCTCAAAAACTCATTAAGCCTACTCTACAATCTCATAAACTCATTAGAAAAACATGACAGTCTCATAATCTCATTAGTCCAGCACTAAAAATTCATAACTTATTAACATAAACAGCAATTTCATAAATTCAATAAGCCTACTCTACAATCTCATAAACTCATAGGATGCATAGGATTATTATATGCATTGTCGTCGTCGAGGTAACCGCGCGTTCAGCTGCCGCAGACGCTTCTTCGCGAGCTTCAACTCGCGGGAGATGCTGTGCAGCTGCACCTGCATCTGCTGCAGCTGCCGCGCCTGCAGCTGCTCTCTGCACAATTAAATTTATCCACATTTTTTATTAATCTATCTTGTGTTCTTAAATGTATTTCTTCATGTACATTTTGAATATTTAGAACAGATTGCTACAGTATGAACCGAATAGCAAAATGACGAACCTATATGCATAGAGTCTTAAATTTAACGTTTGTGCAGCTGACTGTATTATATTAAAATTAAAAATCTATATGTCATGCAAACAATACATTATGCGTTCATGCAAATCACTTTGAACCGACATATTGAAAGTGAAACTTCATCCACTACCGGTGCATAGATAGTTTGGTTAACCATCAGGCTAAACTCCATTCGAAAATAGTCTTTAAAGTTTAATAATCACCCGTAAAAGTGATAAATGTTTGCAAATGATCTATTGAGTACGTATGCATATACTTCTCTAATCATAGCGATCAGCAGATAAATATAGTGGCCCGTCGCATAATTCAATTATCATGATCAACTTACCTCACTTCCCGAACACCAACTCGCAGTGCAAATCTATCATTTCGACGTGAAGTGTACGCAAACAAATACATTGAATGACAATTATTGGATAGCAAGATCGTTCGTATCCGGAAAACAACCCGAGCTGTTCACAGGAGTCCATATAGTTTATTAGTTTCTTCTTCTCGCATCAAGAATCTTCCACTACTGTACTATGTGAATTTCATGCCGGTGTATAATTGTTTATATAATTGTTTTAACTAACATTTAATTTAACTTTAATTTTTAATTGTATAAGCTATAATTGTTTTAGAAATTTATAATTCCATTGCTCAATAGTTATTTACTTTATTTTGTTCAATCTAAATGCTTGCTTATTTTGTATCTGTTCAGATCATCGTCAAAATTTTTGCATTTGTTGTTAGAATTCGTCGTGAGTTTGATTATATGTTTTTCTGCATCCCGTACTTTGAGAAACACGTCAATAACATAGGGCTACCGCCGCTCAACCTCAGAGCAGACATCTTGTTTGGATGCAGTCGACTGACACTCGGGGATTCCTCCATTCCTCGGTAACTATATTTTTACATTAAAGTGGATATCATATCTCCTCTATCCTTTAGCTCATGTGTGTCCGGTTCTTAAAATTTTTTTAGAGTCGCCACTGGGCCGGTATTTCAGGTACAAAGTCTTCTCAGCAAACTTTCAAGACTGTGTTAACAGGTCTTTTGTTTCTTAAGTGTTCACACAATCCTGTCCGTTCCATAAAGACCATCCTTAACGTCATCGAGTGAAATTTAATGACTTCTTCTATAATTGATGACCTATCAGCCTGTCCCTTCGCTCCTGCATATAATTATTTAAATGATTTAAAATGGAAAATGTATTGAAAATTTAGAAAATTGTCCATTCTGCCACGCTGGCGACCCGTTTTCTCGTCCATCTTATTTCACCGCACTAGAAATCCACTTTTACATCCACCTCATTCTACAGTACTAGCGAAATTTCTGCCTAACCTAATTTTTACTTACAACTGTAGTTGCTCATCTACCTCATTCTGCCTTCGTTACGAATTAGAGTTGTTATAAACTCTCTTGTGTACCATCTGTAGTGTACCATCTGTAGTGTACCATCTGTAGTGTACCATCTGTAGCATACCATCTGTAGTATACCAGCTGTAGTGTACCATCTGTAGTGTACCATCTGTAGTGTACCATCTGTAGTGTACCATCTGTAGTGTACCATCTGTAGTGTACCGTCTGTAGTGTACCGTCTGTAGTGTACCGTCTGTAGTGTACCATCTGTAGTGTACCGTCTGTAGTGTACCGTCTATAGTGTACCATCTGTAGTGTACCATCTGTAGTGTACCATCTGTAGTGTACCATCTGTAGTGTACCATCTGTGGTGTATCACCTGTAGTGCACCATCTGTATTGTACCATCTGTGGTGTACCACTGCGGTGCACCATCTGTAGTGTACCATCAGTAAATTACCATCTGTAGTGTACCATCTGTCGTGTACCATCTTTATTGTACCATCTGTCGTGTACCATCTGTCGTGTACCATCTGTCGTGTACCATCTTTATTGTACCATCTGTGTGGTTGGAAAGTTTCTCGTACATCCTCCCAGCATCGCGATGTGCTGCCACGAACGAGCGGCGTCGCAGAAACGTCAAAATAAAGTCCAAATTTTTAGAGGAGATTTCTTTTTTTAATTTTAGTATTCTTTCCTTATTTACTAACATGAAAAATGAGGCATTTACAGAATTATTTTTGAACAGCATGCTTCACTGCACGCATAATAATTACAAATAACCAGAGGGTTGTTGCTACTGACCAAGGGACGAAGAGCTAGTGATGAGTGACGAGTCATCGAAACAGCGGTCAGAATTGAACAGGAATCCCCACGTGATTATCACCAACAAATAAATTCATAATAATATTTAATATCATTAAATAAATAACTGAATGAATCTTACCCGTTATCAAAAATAACTATTGTATTTTTAATAATGGTCTAAGTCGTTTCAGTGTTTACATGCACTAAGAAAACCGTCATCACATAATTAATTCCCCTAATTCTGCATCATTGTAATTGATTTCAAAATAAACCTGCACAGTTATACTTGTTGACAATATCAGAATATTTGAACATTTCAGCATGCCAACATTTGCTGAAACATTTGAACATGCTAACATTTGCTGAAACATTTGAACATGCTTACTTCTGTCAAAACATTTGAACATGCTAACTTGTGCTGAAACATTTGAACATGTTCAGTTCGTCTTGCTACGCTCAATACCTGCGTTGTATAACTCGTTATAAATGAACTCCAATAATATTGAGTAAACTAAGAAACGTTCGCTTTAGAAACAGATTACTAGAACTCGTTCCATGTTTCAACATCATCTAAGGAAGAGACTAAATTGTATTAAACTCATATTGAACACTTTGCAATACAGGGATCATGCATGCTCATGCAGAAGATAGTGAAAATAAAAAAACGTCCTTAAAATACATAACAATACTTTGTGGAGGCAGGAAATGTATTAGTGAACATGTATGTATCAGTGAACAGCTTGAACAATATACATCTTTTGGGACAGCGGAAAAGAAAAAAGTTAAATGCTGCCAAAGTGACCATGAAATCATTCACAAAGTTTGTGTTTTAACTTGGAAGATGAAGTTCTAGACTATCTTCTTTGTAAAATGTTGAAAAAGTTCATTGTAAAGTCACGAGCAACTTATAAAGTTAAGCAGAGTAAAAATAAGTGCATCAACACACCTCGGAAATGAAAAAAAAAATAAACATTTACATTGTTAGGGCTAAGTACGCCCACCACGAAGCACGTTTACATGCTACCTCCGCACGACAACGTACCAGCGGATCTTTTAATATAAGCATCCGAAAGCAAAAATTGCAAAAAAACTCGTCAACTGAAAAAGGCGTCTATAGTATCGTATAATAAAACAAGGCATCAAATTTATCAAAGTGTAGACATTTTGATGCGAATCAAAATGTTCGTCATATCGGCAATTATGATAATGTTGCACTCGTGACAAACAGACCGATGTTTTTACACTTTATAACCAAAACTGAATTCTCGTGTCCTAGCGCCAAAACTGCTCAAACCAGAAGTTCTCTGAACTATATTCTGATTCATGAAGAATTAAACATGAAACTAAAATTTAAAAAATAGGTAAACATTACATTCTTTGAAGTCTTCAGAATTATGTTCAATGTAAGTCTGGTACGAGTCACGTCACCCGTTAATTGAATGGACAAATGATAAAAAAAATTCAATGTCCAAATGAACGTTTCCTTTATTAGGAGGTGTTCTTACCAATACGCAAGACATAAAAGATAAACTACTTAATTTTTGCAAAATATATTTTGAACTTTGATACTCGATAGATATTTTGAACTTGCCTTATACTAATAAGTTCAACGCATGAATTTTAAAGGTTAATAGACTTACAACACAATTTAAGAACACTATAATCTTAGCTCGATAATGACTGGAACAAAATTGCAACGAATTTAATTTCAAGAAAATTCCATGCATTTAGTTTTTCAATGAACATGATAATAAAAAAACTGCATGCAGTGAATTTCTTACTCTAGACCCCCAGTTGAGTCTGACGCGAGTTGCCGACAGAGCGCGTCGCCGCGCTCGACAAGTTGACTGCGTTCGTTCCTGAGCGCCGCCACGGCCACCTTCATGGCCATCACCTCCCGCTTCACTTGATTGGGGCTCTCGACGGCTTCTTTATTGAGCTCCACCTGCGTCAAGCACGGGAATTGTCTTCTTTATTGTTGAACAAACGATTAACCTGGCATTAAAGAAGAACTAGTTTATCAAAGAAATGTTTTAATTCTGTTGCGGCGAATCGAGAACAACGGCAATAAGTAAGGATTGTTCACAATTTATTGCATGTATTGCAAATTAATTCACGAATTCAGCTTGTAATATGCGATAAAATAAAGACTTTTATTAGATTGTTTGCAGGTATTCATCTTTTCTAGAATTCAATCACAGTAGAACGTTTAAAATTTAGAACTATAAAAGATTTTCAAATACCCACCCTTGTTACTATTGCCTATTAGCACTATCATTACTGCATAACAACAGCGCCTTTTGCTCAGACAGCCTTCAATAAACACAAGTTTATACCCCGTGGGACAAGTTATTTTTTTAGCTAACAAATTAAGTCAACAACTTGAGTTTGAGATAATGTGGCAAATAATTACCAACGAGTTCCGGTCACAAATAATATTATTGATGTTGCATTTTTTGGTAATAATTAAGTTGAGCATTTTGGTAATCTTTACAAAAGTTTTGAACGGTAGTAGGCTGTAGCATTTGGCAGTAACACGATCTATATTATAGAGAATTGATAAGGATGCAGTGTTGCTTACATTCATTGAGTTGTTTTACTAAACATGTATGCGGGTCTCTTCACCCGCAACTTCAATCCTGTCTAGTACATTTTCAACTGTCGAACGATTGAAATTGTTCTTGAATTATCAAAAAGTAATAAAGGGGCCTTCGATGCCACTGACTCAAAAATACACAAGTGTTATTTTCCTGTATGCTTCTGAGATTCAACTGTTTACCATTGGCCATTTCAAAATTGTATTGATAGAGAAGAAGCGATACTAATATCAAGATAAATTATGGATTTGTGATTGAAATGGAACGGGTCTAGAAATTATTCCTTACGGGACGGGTAAAATGTTCCGCTGCCCGAGGCTGCTTTGTGCTGCTATGCACCCGAATATTTTAGGACTACATCCCTGTGCATTTCCCTCGTGAATAACTTCTAGGAGAAATCAGTACAATTATCTTGTATTCGAAACATCTTAACGAAACTTTGCACCTCGTTCAAAGCTAATTGTATGAAGTAATTATCTTATAGCAGCAAAGCGCATATACGGTCTCAAGCCAGGGGCCGTAAGCAGTTAGGGTCTCGCACGTCATCGTCTCTCGAGTCATTATATACAACGAACAGAGGTCTACTTATGAGGAGCTTACCGATCTTTGAAAGAGCTATTAATGTCTTAACTTCACTCTCCAGCTATCGAAAATGTTAAGATAATTCATATGTCTTAAATCCGACAGTAATTGAACGCAACATTAGAACATAATTTAGAAGAGGATATCAACATACGACTTGAAGTAATGCTTGCTATTCTTAACTAACCAATCTTATAACTGACTCAGTAACTCAACACCTTTTAAATTCGGATAAAAGATTATCAACGACTTCTTAGATTGGTTATTACGCTTTGTTGAGCTGATGACAAACTTTATAGCTTCTTACACTTAGTATACGCTAGTTTCTTCAATATTATGAGGACTTTTGATTAACAAAAAACCCCGGATTGAGATCGACAAAGAAGTAAATCAATACAAGAAACTATTTTACGCCAAACGGCAAAATGAAATATTTCCGGGAACGTTTCCACCGCTGATCGGTAACTGTGTACCAACAAAACATGGACCATATCCAAAAATGATTCATTCTAATTTATATATGACCAATAATAGCTCAAGGTACTCATTCGGCGAAGCAAGGAATTGGGGGCAAGTTTCAGACAAAGACTTTATAGTCTGACAGCGGGCATGTTGGAAACAAAGACGTCGTGTTGACTCTTCAAGCTCCGGACGAGCTTATATTGTCTCTACCCTCACTGACTCATGCCGAACATGGTCTCCAATCGGCAAATATTTTTACTTTCCATGTGATGATCCTTCTCCCTGTGAGATTACCTTTTCTCTGAAATTTTATATAGAACTATAATAAACTATAAAATACTATAATTAATTTATTATTATGAAGTGTGCAACCTTTTTTCATAGACGGCCTGTGAATGATTGTAATAGAATTCCCATGAACTTTTGAGATACGCATGTGAACAACCGACTAATATTGTGAAAATTTCATGTAAAAATTCTATGAACAATTGAGATATAATTTTAAATAACAATAAGAAAACAGGCTTCAAACACCCACAAGCAAACACAAAGAAAACTATGCAAAAAATATCTGACATTCTTTTGATATCAGCTTCACTAGTGAGGTGAACAGTTCCATTAGTATTTGGTATAATAATGAGGTTTTTTCCTCCAAGATCAGTTATCATTTGCATTTTCTACTCATAATTTAAAAGCCGATTTTCTTTGAGCATAAGCGATGCTTGACGATGAACAACTAATTATTCCTTCACTTATAGAGGCATCTATTCACAGCTCAAGTTTGAACATACTTTAAGACACTTCAATAATTTCGATAAATGCTTTGCTAATATATAATTAATTGTTTTGTGTCTTGAATTATATTCATTACTGATGAATGTAATGAATAAGATTTATAATTGATGTTGTGATCGGAATTTTTATTTTCCATCTAAAGTGATTCGGTCAATTTTTTAAAGTTTGCTTTGCTTAGGCGAAAAAGAGAAAAAAAAGATCGTGTTACCTCGCAACTGTGGTATAATGGCAGGATGTTACCTCGCAACTGTTGTATAATGGCAGGATGTTACCTCGCAACTGTTGTATAATGGCAGGATGTTACCTCGGAACTGTTGTGAGAAGTGAGCGTCGAGGCGTCAGTCGCAGGGGCGCAGGCAGAGGGGCGGATGCCGGCCTCCCGCTGCTGAGGCGCGGTGGCATTTAGGGTCGACTCTTTTGAGGGAACATGGCTGAGGGCAGAAGATAATGGACTGGCTGCTGGGTGTGCAGCTTCCGAAGATGCCATCGAGTCTTTGCAAGATGATTCGAGTGAGGCTTTCCTTTGATGTCCAGTATTACGTTTCATATTTTCGTTCGTTGAAATGTTCTCAAATATGTTTTTCATAGCCGATACATGACCGAAAAATGGCGAATTTCGAGATGAATTGTTTCGATGCACTCTATCTGCCGTTGGTTGTGGTTTTGAATCAGTAATGCTGTTGGATGTTTTTGAACCTGGAAAGCTGTGGATTCGTTGCTTACTGGCTTTGCCTGCGTCAGTGAGGGAATGATCTCTTCCATTGTTCGATTTTTTAACTGCTGCTTTCTGTTTGTTCTTTTTCAATTTAAGAGAAGAATATTCAAAACCTTTTTCGATATATTTTTCCTCCTGCTGCACTACAAAATGAGTCGAAAAACTAGGGCTGTGTTGATTTTCAGTTGACGGTCGTTCTTGACTTGATTTCTCAGTTTCAAGACTTGGAGCCAGTGAATCGAATTGTAATGTTTCATGTGACCTAACACTGGATGTACTTTCTGTGTCGTTTGACTCAGTGTGAGAATTTTTCAACACTCTGCTGTTAAGAGTTGTTGTGCTGATATTCGAATCTAGAGCAAATTCTTTGATTGATATTCGTTTGCAGTGATTACCTTCACTTCCCTCAATGGCTTGTTCGGTGCTGCTGTTGGTACCTAAAACTAATGGTCTATTTACGTTGAAATCAAGCTCTCTGACGGCAAACTCATCTGGAGGAATACACAACTCCGCGTCGGATGTATCACGGCTACGACTTGACGGACTTTCTTCTTTGTGGATCAAGTCTTCAGGTCCGGGAGTTTTTAGGACGTCGGGCTGTAGTTTTGTGGGCTTTGAAGGGTACAGGAGCTTAGGACGCTCAGGCTCCGGCGTCACCCTCACCACCTCATCGGAGAGTAGCAGCGTGAGCCTCATCTGCTCGTCTCGAGTCGGCACCTGAAATAGAACCGGATAGGCTGGCATGTATCTATCAGGTTCTAGTAAAATACGAACGGAGAAATATATTAGTTTTATTATTTCTGGTTATGCTGTATTAAAGGATTTTTTTAATTATCGTGATGTACTGAGCGAGTTTTACGGTTTCCTTGTGATGCTAAACCCCTTGCAGAGATGTTAGCTTTTCTCGCGATGTTGATATTGTGGATATTTCAATCATTAAGTACTTTTCAAACTCAAAGCGGAACTGGAAAATAGGAGATGCATTGAAGAAACATGAAAGATGAATAGAGGAGAAGCAATGATACAATAATAATAAAACTTTTTGTACCTGAATGTTGATCCTGTTATGCAGCGCCGGTTGCAAGACGATGTTGAATAGGCCGCTGCTGCTCGGGTGCAGTCCTGGCTGAACCGATGCTCCTTTAAGGCTAATCTTATCTAACACGACTTGCTGGCGATAAGATGTTGCGTTCGGTGTGACCAGGCTGGTCTGTAATTCGCTATCACTTTGTAAATGTTCTTTTGCAGGAAGAACCAGTAAAAAACCGGCGTCGATTCGAATTAGCCTTTTGAAGAACTTTGTACCATTACCCGTGACATCCACCATACACAAACCTGCCGGAGTAGACTCATAAATTTAGTTGATTTCAAACATCGACAAAGGGAAATATTATCATGACAATTTATCTCGTTGCATTGAGTGATTATTTAAGGGATATTACTAGGGGATCATTCTATCATATGCGTGTCAGGCACAGTTAAAAATAAATAAATGTGTTATCCTACCACCATTAAAATTACGAGGTACTTGCTTCTTATCACCTGAGTTTTCGCAGTGAACTGTCGATAGCTGAGAATTTGATGAAGTTTGGGCTTCAGGATGCAAGTTCACAATGGGTAAATCATTTGGTAAATTTTGTTCAATAATTGATTTTTCTGAGCTCGCTTTATTTCTTTCCTCCTTCATTTTGGTTTCCAAAGACCTGCGTTCCCGCAAGTTGTAATTTAATGTTCGAATAGCTGTTGGAATTCGAGATGGGGCAAAACTCGGGCATGACTTTTCCTCTCTCTTATGAATATCAATTCCGTTGTGTGAAGATTCGTTGTCTTGGATTTCGACTGGAAGTTCCTCGGGCCCAGAAAGGCTTTCCCCTGAATCTTCTACGTCCGAATATTCATCTTTATCATTTTGAACAATGTCATTGCTCTCGCTAGCAGAACTGTTAAGCTCATAAAGATTGTCAACAGAGTCGTCCAAGTTAATGTCTGCTTGATGAAGGTATTCGGAGGGTTTCTCATCTTCGCAATCGGTATTGGAAGTTGATTCACCTTCATCCGACGATATGGCGTACAGCCTCTCTTGCACATCATCGTTGAATCGAACCTTTTTAGAACTCAAAGTTTTACCCATGATCTGTTCAAAACTCAACTTTTCTCCGCTTGTTCTAGAAGAATCACTTGCTCCGATTGTTTCTTCCTGCATTCTGCCTCCTGAGACGTCAATTAAAGACGCGTTTGAGGCGTCCGCTCCACGAAATGCTTCTTCTTCGTTTTCCGTTTGCCATTCCTCGTCATTAATAAAGTCGTCATCATCAATGCGGTTCTTTATTTTAATGAATAAATCTCCAACTTCTTCAGCAGCCTTATTTTCTCCTGCTCTCATATAATAGTCTTCAGCTGGGCAAGTTTCTAAATCAAAAACTTTATCTGAGGGATTATTATTATCGAACGTATTTCCCTCGCGATAATTTCTCCCCGTCAGAGCATATGCAGGTTTATTGAATTCATCTTCAGATTTATTCACTGAACTTGCCGTGGATGTTTCCATGCCGGAGTCTTCAAGGCCATGCAGAGTTTTAAGGTCGTATTGACTCTCAGCCCTGTTGGAAATAAGTGAACTTACCTCGTCTTCATGTGATTGGCTTCGAGAGTCGACGCGTTCTACTGAAACATCAGTTATAACCGGGCTCATCTCGGAGGTGAAAGTTTCAGTAAATTTTCGTGTAAAAGTATCAATCAGATCTGTTGAATATCTCCTTGAGTTCGTTTCTATTTCTGCATTAGCTTCTTTCCTTTTGGATGCGTTTTGGGTTGATGTTTCTACTTCCATTTTATCTAAAGTGTAAATACTCTGAGATGAAAAAATTTCAGCATTTCCTGTTTTCTGGTGTACAGTATCCTCAGCTTGGCAAGTCAAGTGTGAGTTAGATGCTTCTGATGCCTGCTGTTTAGTTTCTCCTATGGTTTCCGTAGTAATAAGCTGATCACTCGGATTATTTGTGCAAAGATGCGGAAGATTGGATTGCACGTCGTCATTAATCAATGCTGCAACCGTAAATGCTTTAATCTCGTGGTTTTCAGGATTTAAAGTACTTCCTTTCTTTTCGCCTTCTTCAGGCGTGTTGCGTCGTTCGTCAGTCACGTTATTTGATGGCGTTGTTTGATTACCTTTACTTTTTGATGAATCCCGGTCAGCCACTTCCAACGAGCCAGTTTCCAAGGTTATTGTTCTTTCTTGGGCTAAGGCTGGGTCTTTTTCTGTGATGGACGATAAATCGGCATGCTCATTTTCGGAAATTCTGCCATCGAGGTCCAATTCAAGACTGCGTTCTACGAAATTTTCTCCTAGGTTTGAAATTCCTTCTATTTCTGTGGGTGGTGCGTCAATACGACCTGCCTTGTACTCGCTGCTGTCATTAGACGAGTGCAGGTCTGCATTTACTTCTGGCGGCATTATAGGTTCCGTATTCAAGCGTCCGTCATAGTTCCAAGCAGCAGCTTTGGACGCTGCTCGTGACTGCATGAATTTTATATCTGAGTAAATACTCTCTGCATCTGTTGAATCTTTTGGTTCGATGATTCCAATGACAACAATTGAGGACCTATTTTGATCGAGTGTCTTAATGGGTCTAATTATCTCCTCTAAACTTGAATTATTAACTAATATTGGATCATTTGATGTACATGCAGCATCATCGGCAGTTGCAGCTTTTGAATTAGATAACGATTTATTTTCGAGGAGAACACATTTATCTGAATTACAGAACGCGCTTTCACACGGTTGGACTCCACTTTGAGAGTAAGCACTGTCACCCAATGAGGTTTTGGGGGAGCTGCAATCATGATTAAGAACAGAATAAACTTCTTCGTCGATTGTATTTAACACACCATCTACCTCTTCGTTTGGAGAGCTAGATTTGATTCCATTAGTAGTTGCACTGCATTCTTGCGGATTTTCATGTTGAACAAATTCAGTTCCATTTTTAACATTCTTGTCTAAATTTTCTCTTTCCTTTTCTTTTTCATCGGATATTTCAAGCTCATTTTCCCGTACGTAGTCGTCCGCAGAGTGAACGTGATCAGCGAATGAATTGCCTACGTTCGACGGTGTCAATTGGAAGGTCTCGTAGATGTTTTCATCGTTGTGGGAAGCAAAGTTTATTTGGGGAAATTCAACTTTGGAAATATTACCAGTGCCAAGTGCATCCGAGCCCAGGCCACAAGACTGGGCATCATTTTCCTGGGTTTTTCTTTCTGAACAAAAAGTTTCATCTGAGATTTGTTCTGTATGGACGCTATTCGAATGTTGAAACAACTGAACATGCATTCCTGAATCCGAAATTATATGGCCATTTTCGGGAGCTTCGCCAATTTTTTGTAGGTCTGAATTATTAACTTCTTCTGTAGTCTTTTGCGTTGTCGATTCTTCGGAGGATATGTGTTGTTCTGGTTCTATAACAACGTTCGAATTAGCTAATGTGACACTATGACCAGTTTCGCGCAAAATATCGTTCTCCTGTCTCTGTTGATCTATCAAAATTCCATCATGACACACCATAGTTCCTGAGCAAACCTCATCCGCCACACCAGACAAGTTCAGAATCTGTTCTTCTGGCTGAGAACTGGTCGACGATAGCCACAGCTGTTCATATATTCCTGAATCCTTTGCTTCATATTCTGTTTCCTGTACTCCTCCAATGTCATTTCCTGCTTCTCCTGCTTTCATTTCGTCAGTTTTCCGTTGAGTTGCTTCCTCTCCCGTTGACAAATCTACATTGGAATCAGCCACGAAGGTTTCATATTCGCATTCTTGCCCCTGTTCGTTTCCTCGTTTCTGGACATCCGATGTTGAAACCGGGTCATTGCCAGGATTGGTTTCTTCGTGAGGGATTTTTCCTTGGTCATTAGATTCGAAACTTGTTCCATTTAGACTTTCGTCGACTTCTACTACTTTACCCTCTCTAACATTGGGCAAAGTAACGTCCACGTGGTTGATGTTTTTTTCTGTCAACTTTCCTTCTGCATTTAAATCCCCGTCATTTACTTCACCTTGCACCTTAGGGTTTTCAGATTCTATTCTGTCCAACCGACCCACCCAGTCATCGATTCTCACGGTTGTGGAATAGATCCCTTCATCCTGGTTACCCACATCTTCCAAGCTGTCGATGAAGGTGGTATCAGAAAGCGCATCCAAGGACGACATCTTATTATATCGAGCCTCTTTACTGACCGAGCAGTTCTCGACAAAATTTGCTGACCCAAAAACGACAACATCGTACGCGTTGTCTGTTCGTTCTCTGCTCTGAGTGCTGATAGCCTTCAGGCTAGATTTGTCAGCTGTCTCATTTAATCCTTGATTTGATTTAGCAGGTTTAGTTAACTTTCCCAAATTCAATTGGTCATCACCGCCAGTTGCACCTTTGGTCGAGAGATATTCAGCGTAAATTAAATTTGAATTTGGGTCGTTTATTCTAGCTCCTTCTCCCAGCAAGGCCTGAAATCAAGACGTGGAATTTTTAACATAATTTTCTGCTTATTTCTTTAGCTTGCTTATTGGAAATTGTATATAAAAATGAGTGATTTATTGTAACGCAGCTTTCATAAAATTGTAATCAATTACAAAAGTAGGTAATTAATGTTTTTGCAAACTATAACTACATTTTATATTATAACTATATGACAAAACCATCTTTGATATTTGTTTCATTCTCACTAATTAACTGTTATTAAATGTAGCAAAAAAATAGGATATATCAACATGAAAGTTTTTTAAACGTTATTAAACTTGTCAAGATCGGTCTCTGCTACCAGAATCTGTCCCTTAGTAAAACTGAAACGCAATTAAAGAAATATTACCTCAATCAGCCTCCCTTGGTTGTAAGCGTTATCAAAGATAATGTCAAGTTTATAGTTGTTAGGGCCATGGATGAGGAGCTTGTGACGGTTTTTACTCTCAGGACAACAGTTGAAAACCGTCAAAACTGTTTCGTCGGTGATGAGGTATCGTTTAGGTGCTCCATCATGTTTGCTCTGGAAATTGGTTCCATGTACGCATCACTGAAGTGAAATATTATAGCAGAAACATTTGATTTATCTCACGTTCAACAAAAAATTCCAAGAATAATAGGGAAGATGATTCCGAATCCAACACTTAAGATCAAGTTATTTTACCTCGCGCTTATAAACGTGCAGGAGTCCGGTAGTAACGATGAGAACTTTCAGGGAACGCGACCGGATGACGCCGGAGTTTTTAACGGCTGCCAAGACGGTGACGGTGGCACGCCGCTGTATGTCCTCGAACGACATCTCGCTAAAGACCAACAGAGAACGGGGAATGGGGTTGAGAAAACGAAGAAAACGGGTCAAAGCCACAAAGTGTGTGCAAAACATGGCTGACACGTGCAAATCAACGTTGCGTTGATAAAAAAGCCGTTGAAACACGGAATGTAAGAGGCATGTAAACAATGTGCTTAATAAGAAAGAATTAAGTGGGATGAAAACGGATCGAAGTCTACATCAGGTATTGTGCTAAATAAAGATTTTGTTATTTATTTTGAAAATGTGCAGAAAAATAGTAGTAATTTCTACAAAAAAATTCTTCTCAAGAGCTCATATTCTCATCTGAATAGGCGACAAACTCTGCATTAAATCCTGCTACGATTAGCTATTATAAATCTCATGTTTGATATTCAAATAGGCAAAAAGTGCTACAAGACTTCTGTTTGTTACGTGACATTTTTTCTCCGATCTTTTTACGAAATATATCAGGAGAGACTCCAATATTTAGCAGAAAAGCGACAAGTTGTGGCGCTTTAATAATTCTTTCTGTTATTTTGAACGCTGCCTTTTTTCAGGCTGCATGGATTTTTGGGCAAATTTTAAAAACTGCGCTTCAGCTGGGTCCGAAATAATATATCGTTCTTCAGCAAGATCAGGAATAATATCTCATTTGTTAATTGGTTGCGAATTGAAATGTTGTGCGTCAGTCGTGTCTGAAATAACATATCGTGCGTCAGTCGTGTCTGAAATAACATATCGTGCGTCAGTCGTGTCTGAAATAACAATCTGCTCGGCCTCCTCCATCCCAAGATAGACAGACAGGAGTCTATATCAGCAAAGTGGCAGTCTCATGCAGTAGCAAGAAATATTGATGCTATCACATATTTTATTGACGAGCCTTGTGTCCTTGTGGCTCCTGCATGACATGAAAGCAAATAATCAAATTGTTTATCGTTATTGTACGAGCGGGTAGATGAAAGGTCACTCAATTACCGAGACGAGAAAGAGTGTCAAATGAATTAAATAACGGAAGTCTATTTCTGGCGGAGCCTTCAGCAGAGTTGTTCATGTTCTTTCCATGCTACATGACTGTAGCAAGCTGGTTTGGTTTGACGCTTTATTGTAGGTTGAAAGATACCTTAGAAGAATAATAATAATAATGTTTAAATTAACTACTCAATTGAAACTCATCGTGATATTTTATTTGCATTTTTTACACATATAAATGTTCTGACGTAACTTTTAGGTGTAGAATTCGTTCTCAGTATCAGTTCGCTATCATTTTTGAGGCAACCATTGAGAGTGTCAAGTGCAACACTCGCATCGCTGAATATAAGACGCTTACGTATCATCGACGTACGGACAAGCATTCACTGTTCTGCTGGTCTATATTAATGTTGATATGACAGCGCTGCAATATTGCATGGTTGTGAGAGCTCCTGAGCAAAATGTCATGATAAAGTATCTCAATTCATTGACAAAATTCATATCAAAAAGTGCCAGTAATTCAAATTGAAAAATTGGGTCGATATGATCGAACATTAACGATAAGTAAATATGTAAATCGATAAATTTATTGTACCTCTAGATCACAAACCTTAAGGAAATTTCACATGCAAAGAAAGAAAATAAGTTACATCTGTTTTAATTCGGAAAAACATTTTCGTTATCAATTTGTTACTGAATATACTGTTCATTGCTTGAACGTATTTTGTAGATGGATCAAACTGAGGTAATGTTGCCGTAAGACGAGTCTTCTCTTCTATTTCTTGGATCAACAAATTCTTACCCGTTCTTTTTCTCGCTGGCCGACATCCTGATCCGTTTCTGGTTCTCAGAGTTACATATATAAGGAAAATGTATTTGGGTTCACGTTCACCGCACTCTAAGAAACGTGTCATAGGATGTTTACGTTCCAGTAGGCGAGCAAATTCAAGCCATGAACAAGATATCAGTCACTTCGTCCGATTATATTTTATAGTTACATTTGTTTATTCAATAACATTCAAATCTATTTTGGGTTTTCTAAATCTATTATTTTATGCGTATGTGCAGAGTACGTTCTAGTGAACTTGTTTACACCCGTGCACGCTAATATGTTGAGCTGTGATCGCAGGCGACATATTGCAGCACTGATATGAAATGTAGCTCCGTCGTCCTCAACTTCCTTATCATTCTGTTTAAACTCTACTGATATGATAGATGGAATTGTGCGTATCTCTCAGATAACGCCTTTGCATCCCTTATAATATTACCAGTCGGAAATTTTTCCTTCATTATAGGTTCGCTGTGGTGCCTTTAACAGAATCTTCGGTTATTTTTGTCTGAAGCTCTCTGTGAATGGCCGCAATTCTAACAGCATTGACATTCTAACGCAATGGCAACACATATATTGAACATGACAAGATTCACTAGTAGACTAATATAATAGTGCATATCTTGAACATGGCGATTGGCAAGTGATGTATTGAACATGGCAAGGGATGTATTGGACATGGCAAGGGATGTATTGAACATGGCAAGGGATGTATTGAACATGGCAAGGGATGTATTGAACATGGCAAGGGATGTATTGAACATGGCAAGGGATGTATTGGACATGGCNGGCAAGACGTGTATTGGACATGGCAAGACGTGTATTGGACATGGCAGGACATGTATTGGACATGGCAAGACGTGTATTGGACATGGCAGGACATGTATTGGACATGGCAAGACATGTATTGGACATGGCAAGACATGTATTGGACAGGGCATGATATGGCAAGACGTGTATTGAACTTAGCAAGGCAAGTATTAGACAGAATATGGTCTTATGCTGTGATTAATCTAAATATTAAATTAATGCGATGAATATTTTTAGCTCTCGCTCCAGTGATAATTATTGGATGCTGAGGAAACTTAATGACACTAAATAATAATAATTTTTAACGCTCATTTAGGCAACGCAATTGTATTTAATCTGTGATTCAAATGCCAGCGATGTTTTCAGTGCCATCGGTTTGCTATGGAACATGCGAGCGCTTGGAATGAAAATTCCAGCGTTAAAAAAAACTGTAGCAATGCTCGTTTCTCTTTCAATAAATAACTTACAATAGTTTCCTAATGGAGTTTTGAATTATATTTACAACAAGAGAGTGCTGGTGGTAGTGGTAATCTAGGACCTTATCATTAACCACCTTATTCGTTCAGCCTTCAACTCTTATTTCTGCTTATGCTTGTTTCTCTGCAATCCTGTTCATACTACAAAACTTGCCATTTCTTTATGTTGTATATGAGGAGTCTGTTAGAATATTCATTCGCGGTAATTGGTGCATCATGTGTCTATAATAACTTCTAGAGAACTCTAGTAAATTTGGTAGCCTGCATTCTGCTACCTCGTGAATAACACCTTTGAAGGGTGTTCTATGTGCCTGAAATTAGATAAAACGGTTACTTTGAATTTAGATGTGTAAATAGTATGGATACAATTTATCATATTGATTAAATAATTTTGTGATTTAGGTAACTGTTAAAAGGAAATTATCAGTAACTTGATAGAAACTATCACTAATTATTGGTCTTTGACGACTCTTCATTATCGGGTGAAAATTACTCTTTGCCTCTTCTAAAATGAAACTCCTATAGTAGCTAAAAAAATTTGCACCTATATCCACTCTTTTCCTTCATGCAATTTAGAAATATCATGTTGCACTTCGTGTAAATAAACTATATTTATTGATCTTAATTAACTTGATTTGTTGTGAAAAATATTACCTGTCATTTCTATCTAGACATTACACTGTATTTCTGCTATAGATTTCTGCTTCAGGAATTTCTGCTATAGATCGGCTGCATTGATCTGAATGAATTAATCGGGGCTATTGCAATAGAAAAAATAGATTAGTACTCACTGCAATGAGTGATAGAGAGCGCATTTTCTCGTCCGTCCGTGACGTGAAGTCACGGGCGGACGAATATGACGAGAACCATAGTGTTTATTTTTCGTAAATGAGAAAATGCGCTGAAAACTATAAATATTATCATCCATTAGCTACTACTGCTGCTATACCAGTTACCGTCCATTGTTCGTTAGGTAAAGTGTTCATCGTACATCAGTTGTATGAAGCTTCCTCCACGACGCAGCTGAAAATCTGCGTAGCCGTAAAAAATGAAAATTGATGTGTATACGATTAAACCAAATTTCAATGTAGAATTCAATTCAAAGTAAATAAATATTTAAAAAGAATGAAATTAAAATTGATTGTGCATGAACCATGGGTACATAAAATATAGCATCGTAAACTGAACTGTCGTGAAATTTTTGTTGTATTGCCCACAGACCAAAAAGGTCCGTAGTTCATTCCAGTACGTTACATAGCAATAGAAGTATTCTGTAATTAGTTTTTTATGTATATGGCACTTTACTCACGAATATATTCATTTGATCTTGTCCCTATGCATATATTTTACAATAATGTTACATTATGTTTCAGAATGTTACGTTGAATAAAGATGTATGTAAGTCAGTTCGAGTGTCACCTACGACACGAACTTACCTTTTCTTGTCCGAGACCGAGCACCGGCAGCTGTTTGCAAATATTAGTTATGGTCAAATAAAGATCAATGAAAATTTTTAGCTGGTATTGACTTACAAATTTTCTGCAGCAATCGTAGATCACAAGACGCACGTAATTGTACGCTCCACATCTGCAATTTATACGTTCTGATTCAGAACATCAAAGCAATTGGCTAATGAATACATAATGCCGTCATTATTTAGGAGTATCCGACCACCATTACAATTAGGAATGAGGGAATAGATTGTTTATTGGAAACTGGTTGAAATTGAATCTAAATTTTCACTGTCATGCACGATATAGTAAAGCGAGTGCTAGCTTTCGATGACAAACATACAAGACTCGCGCGCGTCGCCTTTTGTCGACGTGTAGTTTTACGCACGGTCAAAAGCTGAGCATAAAACAGATTTTGATTCTTTTTGGAAGCTGAGCATATTTAAAGCTAGCAAACTTCATGTCCCTACATGTTTTGAGGTAGCGACTTTAAAATACGATAAGACTGTGCTCTATATAATCAATATTCGATTCTTCAATTCAAATTCAGAACAGCACACGAGCGCCGTTACCAATGCGCACTCCACGCAGTATATTTGCACCAAGCTGCTGAACTATAATGGCTAATCTGTGACAATCTCACACTCCTCCCAACACAATGCAATGCTATCTGTCCAGATATCGGCCCATGCTATCGTAAACACTGCGGATCGTTCAACAAAAAAATGCAGCGTTAGCAGGACGTCAGTTCAGGATTAAGGTAAGTTATAAATCCATCAGACATCGTCTGCTATTTTTTATTATTTTTTTTTGCGTCTCTATATAAAGTGAATTTTTTGCTTCGAAAATATCAAACACGGCGGCTCGTTCATAAGTTATTCTAGTTAGTTATAAATTATACTATGATTAGTTGCAATCAAATATAGCTTCAAAATCATATTAAGCCTACTTCTTGATCAGAGTCAGAAATCTCCGTTAACGTTGTCACTATCATCACACATGGCCTCACTGTACTGGCACTATACTCGTATCGTTAGTATAGTGACATTCGCATAGCATCGAAATATTCATCTAGTGAATACAAGAGCAGAGTTGCTACCACGTACCTACCAAGTTAATAAGAACCTAAAGGAGAAATTGGAATAACGTTCACATTTAAATGCTCATTTTTGCGTAATTGCTTTGTATTTGAAAAATAATTGAGTGCATTGTAACTGTTAATGTAACTGTTTATGGAAATAATATACGCTTAAAAATTACTTTTTAAAGACAACACTTCTAAAGAATCCAGTGTCTCCAATGTTACAGATGTACAATGAATTTTTCATTTTATTTTCGACTATTAAAAAAAATAGTTTTTCAATTGTTTCACTTTTTTCCAACCAACTGATCACGCATTCGTCACATGAACACGATTAATTATTCGCCATGCCCATACGATTAATTATTCGTCACGGGCAAGCGATCACTTATTCGCCACGTGTGAGCGATCATCTATTCGCCACATGCACACGATTAGTTATTCGCCATACACATACGATCAATTATTCGCCACATGCGAGTGATCACTTATTCGCCACGTGCACAGGATTAGTTATTCACCATATATATATACGATCGCCTATTCGCCTCCTGCAAACGATCAATTATTCGCCGCAATCGATCAATTATTAGTCAACTATTCGCCAATCAATCAACTATTCGCCACATACAAACGTACACGTATAACTCTCATTGGATGTGCTATACTGATTTTTGAAATGTGTTCTAAATTCATGTAAAGAAAAGAGCACTTTTTGCCCTCATGTGATGTTGCCTTCATTTTGATGGTGACTCCGAATCTTAATTCCGCACCAAAGGATGGGCGGGCAACTCAGACGTCGTCCACCGCATGTAGATTGGGTGTCTATAAACAAAATTAGCGGAGCCTCACATACACGACATACATACATTCACCAGATGCAAACGATCAGTCACATACAGGCTATATCAATCATACAGGTCATTTTTCCGTCACAAGAAAGCGATCACTTATTCGCCACATGCGATCGATCATTTGTTCGCCACATGCAACTGATCACTTATTCGCCACATACACACGATTAATTATTCGCCATGCACGTAAGATTAATTATTCGCCACGGGTAAGCGATCACTTATTCGCCACGGGTAAGCGATCACTTATTCGCTACGTGTGAGCGATCACCTATTCGCCACATGCACACGATTAATTATTCGCCATACACATACGATCAATTATTCGCCACGTGCGAGTGATCACTTATTCGCCCCGTGCACATGATTAGTTATTCACCATATATACGATCGACTATTCGCCTTCTGCAAACGATCGGTAATTCGATCGATTCGCCGCAATCGATCCATAATTTGTCAACTATTCGCCACATACAAACGTACACGTATAACGATCATTTATCCGTCACTCAGGAACGACCGCAAAAATGCACCGGAAAAAACTGGTAACCCAGTCTGCTTTTCTTACAAGTTTAACTTTGATTACACGGGTCTGAAACAAATCTGAAAATTGTTTTCATTTCTGAAAGGGTGACTGTTTTTTTTGCACTGATTTCATTTGGGTCACGATAACTTCAATTAATGCCTTGAACGGTCATTAATTGGAATTGAACTCTCATTTTACATTTAATTAAATGTCTATAGCACCTCACTTCCCACCACAATATCGATAAATTTTTTATAATTTTTAACGACGTCAATATTTTAAGCTTTCAGTTTCCATGTTATGCGATTTATAAAGCGTGGAAGTGCACATCCAGCACTAGATTTAGTGGGATCAAAATTTGTTAGAAACAAGAAAATAGCTAAATATTTTTAATCACTATGTTTTAGTCAATAATTTACTATCGACGTGTCAAGTGTTCATGGAATACAATCACGCAGGAAAACAGCGAATAAAATCACCATTGCCTGCCTATTATTTATTAGCGTGAAGTTATTACTGGAAAATTATAGCAGAAGTATTTCAGTTCTTTTGGTTTTGCCGCTGTTAAAATGCATTTTTTCGAACGACATTGCCAATCATTATTCATTAAAATTGAGTCCCAGCAATAATTAGAAGTCGACTCAACGTAATTAAAGACATTACGACGTAATCAACCAGCAATCGACGATGTTACAGCATTAGTGGCGCGGTGGAGCGGATCTGCCTAACTGGAGCGCTCCTCTTGTACAGACCGAGGAAGAATTTTGTAAAGAAGAAATATATATAGCATCGTTGACGCTCCGAGTATGAACGCCTTCAAGAACAGACTAGACGAAGCTATGCAGAAACATATGTTCAGTCTTAAAATGCCTAGCACCTTACGTACCAGGCAATAAGTCCAGCAGCTATCTCAATCAATCGACAGTTATGGAAAGATCGGGTTCAGAAGGCTGGATCCCTTGTGAATCAAGTCACGAAAAGTACAAGAATCGGCAACAGGCCATGGGCCTGTGCCGACACTTCTCTTCTATTCTTATAGCAGCTATAAAATAACCAAGCTACCTCACCGAAGCTTCAAAATGCTTTGAGACAATTGACTGCGCACTGTTGGAGGAGAAGCCATTGATAAAACTTACAACAGACCGGGACTATAAAACAAGAAAATTAACAAAAACTGTGTGCCAACATTATAGAAATTAAATGTTGATGGCCGAGGAGATGTGCCATGACCTCTGTAATGCTGAATATGTTGAATTAAATAATTAACTGGAATAGATTCATTCTTCTAATTAAGCTGTATTTTTTCCTAATGGTTATCATGCAGTTTCATTATTACCAAGTTTACTCTTTAACCCTTAGGAATTCAGCAATCTGGAAAGAAGAGTGGCGAATTATACTAAAATATTTTTTAGTAATTTATTTGTAAGCAACACAGGATTCAAAGCTCACAGCAATAAAATTTCAACTCAAATAAATTACATGTAATATTAATAATAAAAAGATGAGAAGTTAACGCACAATCAAGGTTGAAAATAGACTCTCATGTTCCAGAAGCTTGAAAGAAATCAAGAGACTAGAAGACAACGCCGCGGCTGAGGTTAGCGAGGCTTTCAGCGGCAAAATCGGACCTGTGCAATCCGAAATATCTAAGTAAGTCGATTTCTTGACAAGAAAAATAATTCCCAATCACCGAAATTAAAAATCTTAGATGTTTCATTTTTGAGACATTTAGTGTGAGCGAAATACAGAAATGAATGTTCTTATAATCATGTCGCAAATATTGGGTGCATCAATCAAAGAAATCAAATTCTAGCAATTATTTGGTGCATTAAGAGACAGATAGGAGCACTGCGAGTACACGTGTACACTAAGCACTACACTGTGGTGTCTCCATTGTGAGCAACAAGCACTTGTCTTGCTTGCGAGATATTCTGGGACTGTGTTTAACGAATCGCAGGTACATCCTACTTATAACGTATCAAGCGTTTCGCTTCCATTGCCGTTATTAGGGCACTACAATTAATACGTTATTAGGACACTACAATTTATATGTTATTAGAACTCTACAATTTATGTTATTTGAATACTACAATTTATAACGAAAAACCTCAGGCCGAAGATCTTCTTGAAACTTTCAGATTTAGAAAGATGTAGGCTTCTAATATTGGCTTTACTTGGGCTAACATCTTGACCAGCAAGTGCAAATGGCGAAGCCGATTCAAGATCCTAGTAGAACTGTTTGTAAATAAATATAAAAACTCTTAATTGTGTTGATAATAGGAATGATTGGAGTTTACCAATGGAATCAAGACACGAAGACCAAGCATGAGACCAGCTACCAAGCCACAAAGGTGAGGCAGACAGCAACGGAACACAAGTCTCCTATAGCAACAATCATGGTAACATTAATGATAATAAAAATAATAAATAAAAATCAACAAACTTAAGTGTGACTTCTAACCGTGGACATCGAGTAACATGAGGTATAACAGAAGCTAAAACTTGAAGTTATTCAAATATGACGGCATCAATACAGGCAGCTATACATTAGCAATGAACCCAAAGCGTTTCAATGAAGGACAAATGAAGACATTTTATTTATTTTACGCATTAGATTCAAGAATTTAACTTTATAATAGCGTTCAATTTGTCTGAGATATGTTGAATTATTTGGCCTGAATGTCGCGCTGATGGAATTGTCGAGTGGTTATAAACATTAAGATCAAAAATGAATCACAAAAGGCATGGGTACTATTGCTGCTGAGCATAACAAGAAGAAACGCTTCTTATAAAAAGCTTCACAATTAATATCGCAATATTATTGTTACACAAGAAGTACAAATGCATCGTCGGTTAAGTACGGCACTCTTCCTTGTACCTAAATTAAGGCACACGTTGCAGGCAAGTTACTTACAGCTAGCCGATATAAGTTTCCCATATATACAAAAATAACATATTAAATAGGAATGATTACCCTGCAAAATGGCTGAACACGAGAGACTACTTTACAAATTATGCATTTACACACAAGACTTGTACTTTAAGCCGTACACATACTAGGATAGTAGCATAGTTGCTTCTCTTGTGCAGTGACTGCATAATTGAATTGAATAAATATACTCATTCTAACATGAGTAATTTCGAAAATTCTCTGTTGGCGAGCAACGTTAAAATTAAACAGGAAGCTCTTTTAAAAATTAGGTTGTGACGTCAGCACAATGTATAATAATTTCCTATCCTTACTTTTCAATTCACATACCTACATAAAATATTCAGATAAAACTTTGAATCATACTTCCTCGATGCGGTAAAATTCATTTCGTTACAGAAAATTGCTTAGTTTGCTCGATTTGGCTAAATCATGCAAAAATATTTCTATTAAACATCCAGTCGCTCCAACAAAGAAATAATTCCCTAAACTGATGCGGCTGCGAGAGCCAGCATGACAGTACAGACTATACGAGATGAATATTGAAAATATTTCTTCATTAAACTGTACTACCTTATACAAAAAATGCAGGAATGTCAACAATACTTGCAAGAATGAGCGCTACGGCAAAGGCAACTTGGTGAAGTATCTTACTCTTCTAATAGGAATTAAGCTGACATAGATACCCACACAGTGACCACGCCCACATTGTGATGTCTTCTCACTCGTAGTTGGAAACGTCCTAGTTGAATGCACGATTTTGGCGGTCCAGAGACAACATCACACTACAACATGCATCACAACCCAAAGTGTGTGGTGAGAGTGATGACTTTCATACGAGTGTCAGTGCGACAATGTTTGATCTAAGCACAGAATGCCCGATATTAGGTAGGTACAAATTGACACTATAAATTGCCAAATACATTTTTGTACATTCCTATGAATCAAGTACACATCGAATGTCAGTTATTTGGAATATATATGCTAAAAACTACGGTGCATCACAACATAATGTTGACTTTAATAATTACAGTGCGAAAAATTGGCTATTAAATAGAGTATTGAATCGCATGAGTTCGTCATAGATTATGAATGTTAAATATCACCTCAGATTTAGCTACTAAAAATCTTTGTCCACTCTAAGAACCAAGGCAGTGATCAGAGTTCACAGGAATGTTTGATACACCATGACTTCATTGAAGGACTAATGACTTAATATTAGGATCTACGAAGGCACACATTTGAAGGATCCGCAGAAGCCAGGAAGACAGGCGCATGGTTCTCCACTCACGTAAGCTGAAAAAAATGACGAATAAAATGTATTTCATTAACTGAGATGATACTTCTTCATCTAACTCACCGAATATACAAGGAGGACAATGAAGATTATAACGGCAGATGACAGGACGACATAGCAGATGTACTTCTTCTTCATGGCAGATTGTGCCTTGACGCGTGCCTCCTGCATCTGCTGAGCGGCCTCGGCAGTCCTGGTGCTGGCCTCGTACAAGTGCCCCTCAATGCGGTCCACACTCTCGCCTTGAGTGCGCACAAGCAGGGCAAGGTCCTATGGGTGCATCATTGCATTATTTATTGCATGAAAGTATTTCTTTGTGCTCTGGAATTAAACTCATAGACTGTTACTGGAATATCAAAAAGTTTCCATTTTCATTGTTTAAAAAATTACAAGTTTTACTGATTTAAACTAATGTGCAGGCATTCATTCCAACATGTTCTTGTTGAAAGTGTGGCACGAGATGCAACTAAAAAACAAAATAAATGAAGGAAGAGATGAGTAAGAGTGACATAATTTTCTAGAATTCAGCTCCAAAAACCAAGAAAAAAAAAACTATCAGGCATAATTCATACAAACAATTTAATCACATACCTACAATTCAAGGATCGTTTGACAACTCTTCTCCTAAGAAACATTCGTCAAGTTTCAAGACATGTGTCATCTTCTTTAACCTTAACCTCTGGGAGGGTGCAACATAGGCTCAATTTTTGTTCATGAGGTAATGGCTGACCCATCAACTCATCTGAGTGTTTACTAGAAGTAATAGATGAATTTTTTCTATTCTGATAACTGCTTTCATCTAACTAATTGTTTGCTAACAGATTTTAGGCTCACTGACCTGGAACATTTGGTTGAGCTCTACGATGCTTTTTTCCAGCTTGATGACCTGGTCATGACGCTCTCTGATCTCAGTGAGCATCTGCTTGGCCTGCTTGGTTTCAGTGAGGAGGTCCTGAGAGAACATTGTAGGAGGCTTGTCCAGCAGGGACTGTAGCTCCTCTTCAGTTATATCCTTATCATATCCTGCATTAAAATGTATCATAAATACACACTTCATTTATTTGGCACATGTGCATGTGATAGCATGATCAAAATTTCATTAAAATATTATAGGAGTGATTTATGCTGAATTTCACACTAATGTTAAATAAGTCACTAGATAGCATTAAAAACTGTGACATTAATAACAAAATCATTGGTAAAATTAGCAGATACTCTTGACGTACCAAAATTTCTCAGCCCCTTCTGATAAAGTAATATTAAAAAATATACACTTTTTAGTATATTATTGTCCACAATAAATTAAATTTAAAATTTTCGCCCATTTCTTGATTTAAAAAAATATTGGACTCCAAATATAAATTTCCAACCTTCAAGATTTTCACTCAAATTTTACAGATGATAAGGCATGTACATATGAAACTTATGGAAATTTCAAACAAGCATGAGAAACACACCAGCAGTAATTTGCATCTCTTTCCTGACATAGGCTCGATGCCTCTCATTTGCAATGACGACAAGTGCAGAGAGTTCATGCAGCTCTTCCGTTGACCAGCATGACAGTGAGAGAACATGTGTCCGGCAGATGTGTGCCAGTAGCAGGTCTTCATTGTCCTTATACTCACTTCTAAACTGATAAAATTTAATCATAGATGTCAGAAGATTTTTCAACATATTACACATCATCCTACAATCTATAGGTTAGCACACAAATAAATAGAAAAATCTCAAAATATTGTGAAGCAAAAATCAATCTATTGATAATAAAAAGATATAAGCAACCAACCTCATCAATGCCTTTTTTAATAGCATGCAACTGTCTTTTAATGCAAATAACTTGATCATCAAACTTCTCCCTATTGTTATGGTTGTGAATGCCAGCCTTTAGCTTCTGTATGTCTTCATGAAGGTCCTGTAGATGAAACATTGAATTGACAGAATGAATATGTGTTAGAGAGCAAAGTATTATCACATTCTAATGGACATAAATACTAAATTGCAGCTATTGTTACTAATTAACTGTCCTGAAATTATGTGCCAGCTACTGTAGAATAGAACAGCAAATCATAGGTATTATTCAGAATGATCCTAAACTTTTTGGTGATATTATGACACCAAATTCAATTCAAAAATCATAACTTATCAAAAAATTCATTACAACTTGGATTATTTTCAAAGCTAATCTAAATTAAAAACTGAAGAATTTCAAAACATTCTTTATATTGAACATCATTCTGAATTTCAACACAATTTTAGTCACTTAACACTGGTGTAACAACAACAACAAAAATCAGAAGTTCATTTATTTAATATAAGAATGTTGTATAGTAAAAGTAAATTCAAAACTCTTTCATGCACATTTAAATTATTTCTGAAGTCTTTGGAGCAAGACCAACTTCAACTGGAAAAACTTCATGCTGCAGAGTCAACATTTTCATAAAGTTCAAAAATGTTCATTTTGTGGTAATTCTTTATGATCAAATATCATCAATTTGGCATAATCAATAAGTTTAGAGATATGATGCTATAGTGGCTACAATTGTTTCATCTCAACTTGATGCAATTCCAGCAATCAAACCTAAAACTAAATGTGTTTTATTAGGGATAACTGGTAATAGAAGACTAAAACTTGCTGATGCAGAGAAACCAAAAATGAGACATAAATTTAATTATTATGAATTGGCAAGGAAAAAAAGCTCAATTCACATGAATAACAAAAATGGCATAACACTACAACTCACCTGCATGTTGGCATAAAGTGGACCCAGTTTTTCCAACAACTTGAAAAGTTCATTGGGATCAACACAAAGTCTTTCAGAATTGGAAACATCATTGATGCCCAGGTCAACACTGTTTGCTTCAGCATCATACTGAACAGTGATCTCAGTTGGCAAGCCTGCTTTTGACCTAAACTCGTGTAATCTATCACGACACATTCTTAAATTGATTAAGTAACTGTGTATAGTTTATTTAAAATTGCATTCATAGTCAACAGTGCAAGTCTGTTTGAAGGGGGAAAAATTATTTTGCAAAGCACATTAATTGGCCAAAAATTCAAGAGAGCAATGAAATATATCCCGGATATTTTAGTCCATAATACCAAATAAGAAACATTCTACTAACCATCAATGACACATAGGTCACCACTTAGCAACAGCTGCTCTCCTGCTATCAATAAACTGCCGAGTGTCGCTTATCAATACAAACCACATGGTACTGGTCAGAATAACAATTTGTAGGATTAAATATCCCATAATGACTGACTAAGAAGATTTTTCCATTGTGCCAGTGAGTTTTGGCTAGGATTGGAATTTTCTTCTCATTGTGCACTTTTATTAACAATAAGATGGGAGGTAATGCTGTTCTTACATGTTCATAATAAAGAAAAAACTACAAATTACTAAAAAAGACACAACTAATTATAAAAATGCATGTTTTGCAACCTCAGAGATAATATATGCTAAATTTATCCACAAGTGTACAAGAAATGCTGCACCTTCAAATATGGAGCCTGGAGGACCTGCAAATCCATGTCCATCTGGAATAGTCAGAAGTTTTCAAAATGGCAAAAAAAACTATCATGGGTTATTTTTTAAAAATGCAGGCAAAAATTTTTTATTTTTACCAAAGAAATTAGGCCATGGTCATTGAAACAAGAAAACTGTCTAATTGCATAGGCATTTTTATCTCCTTCATGGGTGGCTTCTGCCCATTTTTCTAGCTTGACATATCACATGGTGGAATTCTATTATTTCTAGGAGCCATGGTTAGTCGTTGGTGTATTATCATTGTGGATCTTGTCAGGAAAATAGTGGAAATTTTTCATGAATGAAAGTGATAGCACCTGCAGGCTGCATACATAGCATAGGCAGTTACAGTCTCACTGAAAATGCACTAAAAAGTTGATGCATGATGATTCGAGGCCCACATTCACATTTCACAGGTTTGGTAGTGAGCTCAAAACCATTGTTGAGCTAAGCAAATGTGTATCATACTTTTTTTTCTTTATTTCTTCTTATGGGAGCACTGGAAACTGGTCTATGCACCCCCTTGCCCAAAGCCCCAAACAGGGTTTACTTGGTGCATGGTGCCTAATAGTTGAATAGTTATATGAAAATCTGAAAATCTTCAAACCTAAAAAAAAACACACACACATGTGCACACAAGGCAAATATAAACCAATACCCATAGATTAAGCAAAGTAACAAAGCAACAAGAAAGAACAAAGATAAAAGAAGCAAAAATGGCTTGCATTAGCTGATTAGCAGTCTCCAGACTCCACATTGATGGCATCTTGTAATTAGGACAAGTAATTAGTAGGAATGATGTCCGTAGATAATGTATATAATGTAGGCCTGTATATAATGTAGGGAGTAACCGCATACATCAAAGTGAAAGTGCACAAAAAAGTTTTAAAATGTTTTTACAGGAACTCGGATTCCGTTTTGAACAAAAAAAGTGAACTGTTAACTGTGATCGCAAACGAGTGTATAGACATTATTTGTATTACAGAAACACTTCCTAAAAATCACGGGGGGAAAATTGTACCTGTTGAATTTCAGCTGCCAGGTTTTGATTGTTTTCATAACTTAAATGAAGAGCAGTGCAGTAGAGGCATAGCTCTGTGGGTTAGAACCTCTTATGGGGCCCAGCAAGTTAAGTTATCTGCAGAGCATCAATCAGCTAGAGAATCAGTGTGGTGTGGACTTACTCTAAAAGGCACAGATAGCCTTCTCATAGGGGTCATTTACAGATCAGCTAACAGCTCCTCTGATAACAATAAAGTACTAAACAGCCTTTTACCGAGCATGTTGTT